AGGTTCTAATAAAACAAAATCAGTGCCAAATTTAGCATAGATTTAAGAAAGAACATTTTAGAAGTGAACCCTATTAAACTCATACTTTTTCTTCCAAACCATACTCAGTTATCCCTTTAGGGGAGGCTTTTCTAGCTCCTCTCATCCCTTTTCATTTACCCTGCATAACTCTAACTGCCTTTTGGAGCTGAGTGCTATGCCGCAGAGACACTTAGCTGATCCACAAGCTCCCTCCCCTGACTCCAGCCACATCTGGTTAAGTTCACCATTACACTACTTCAAAGCACCCTGTGATTCTGTCACGGTATCTATCATGGATCCACTGTTATATTTTTTTGCGTGTGTGCGTGTGTTTTCCCCATTCTTGTCTTTGACCTTTGCCTGTAAGCCACGTGAGGGGTGGTCCAATCTGTTGGGTTACTGTTTTCTGTTGTGCCTCTATAGCCAATTGCAGTACTTAGCACATGGGTGGTACCCAGTGAATTTGTTTAGTACATGAACAACTGACTTGGTGTTATTTCATTTTTCCTTTTGTTTTTTAACTTGTCTTGATTAAAAATTTCATTTTCTGGATAGCATAAAGAAATAACTAAAATCTAAACCATTCTTGGACCTGGCTTTGGTTCTTGTGCTCAGTGCCAGGCCTTGACTCCAGAAATGCTTTAGCTAAGATCTTTTCATTTCATTGCCAATCCCCTTCTTCCAAAACTGTTTTTGGCTAAGGTAGTGCTCAATCCAATGTTAAATATTTACAACTTTAAGATATCTACTGTTGTTACAAAGGTGAGATAACCACAAATAAATTGGAAAATTTTAAACGTCAAGAGTACCAAACATTAAGGAACCATTCAGCCTGTTCTTCTGAAGCCACAATACCTTATTGCAAACACATTCTAGTGAGACTCCACTCAACACTACAATTCTGAGATGATAAAAGGACAAGGGATGGTCTCTTTTCTATAGGCCTTGGTAATTATTTTGTAGTAATTTAAGCTTTTTCTGAAGATGAGAGGGTTGGGGTAGTCAGAACTTGACTATCTTCAGCTGTGCTGAACTTGAGGCGAGGTGAGTGGGAAATGGGCTAATTTGGAGTAAGCATGTTGTGAGGCAGTGGAGTGCATTTTCATTGCTATCCATATTTTCTTCATTTGTAAAAAAAAACAGGTAAAAATGATGACTTTTAGAGAGTTTTATGTTTTTATTTAAGCAAAATCATTTTTTTCCAAATGGAAACTTATATGAAATTCAAATATGAAAACGGGGCAGATTAGTGTACCTAGATATGTATGTGGGCATGTCTAGAATCCACTTTGTTGATTTCATCTCCACCACTTTCAGAAATTTCTGGAAACTTTTTAAAAAATGACAAATGAATTAACTCTTTGAAACGCAGATAGGAAAACATAGTTCTGTCTTTAATTCCCAATTCAGTTTAGTTCTGTCATGTGTGTGTCAAAGGTCTGCAATTTTTCTATGACGATTTTTAGCAAAAGATATCTCTGTGTTTCAGTGTGTCATTAAAGCAATATTGAATGTGGTGGTAAGATACGGGTGATTTGGTGGTGGATACACTCCTGTGGCAATATCTGATATCCTAATGTCACCTCAGTTAAAAATTTACACAATTAAAAAAAATCTAAATGTAAACACAAATGTTGAACAATACTATTAATTCTCACAGGGGTGAGAAAATGTTACTGTAGAAGATTAAAGGTTTAATATGTCTCAATAAAAGTGTAATGAGCAAAACATTGAAGGATATTGTTATGCATCTTTTGGGATGATAAACCACTTGTTACCTCAGGGAGTGCTATGCCATGACCATAAATATTTCCTTACAAAAAGTACACACTTCCATGCAAACACTGGAAAGCCTGTCAGATATTTGTTAATGATAAAGAGTGCCAGTCCCTCAAACATATGAAACATGAAATTCAATATGCATCTTAAGGCAAACGCTGTGTTAATGATAGCAGAGTAAGTTGAACTAATTAACAAATTTGATCAGACCTCCATCACCATCAGACTACAGTTATGGTGAAACAATTCAACACCAATGTGACTTAGAGTGGATGGTACTGCAGTGCAAGAAGTAGTGTAATAGAATCTACCTTTTGGCAATTATTCTTTGGAAATGGTCCAAAAGGCCGATTATGTGGGTGACACCATAATGCAGGTGTCGTCAGACCTTGCAGTGTTCGAAGCACAGCTCTTGCAGTTGTGCCACTGCAGTAGGGGTTTCCTTCCTCTGTCTCCCTGACAAGGCCAAATTTGGCCACCCACTCTCATGCTTTTCTTAAATTTTAACCCATGTTTATTCCACACCCCCCGCCCCCCACCAAGCATTGTAGAACGACATCATGTTTCCTTTCACTAGTCCAAAAAGAATGAGGAAATCATGGGGGTCTCCCTTGTGGTGTGCAGATTCAGTACTATCACCTCGACAGCTCTCCCATCATTATCATCCTCTACTACCCAGTTCTCCTCCAAGTCGCCCTTGTTGTTATATTTCTGCTATCACCTTCTAGAAATTCCTTACATACAAAGAAACACAGTAAGAATTCCTATTTTGGGCCCTCCCTGGTGGCACAGCGGGTTAATGCACAGCACTAAGAAGCTAAATCTACTTCATCATGAGTTTGATCCCCACCCCGGAGGTGATCCACACGGCGTGGCAGACCTCTCCTGACCTACCCGCTGCTCCCCTCAGTGGTGTGCTTCATCAATCTGCCTGTTCTGCACTCCACTCGGTCTCTGGTGAATCCTCTCACTGCCCCTGCACCTCTGGCCTGTACCCCAGTTCTGTATGCATAAACAAAGCTTAAAAAAAAAAGAATTCCTGTTTTAGGAAAACTAAGTAGATGACTTTTAAGATCTATCCTAGGACCCTGGTAGGTATTTCTTCTCGTAGTCCTGACTCACATACAATGTCCATCTGGTATTTTCACTGTAAATGACATCACCAAAGACAGAGAACTATAAATGGCATGCTGACTAAGGATTGCAAAGTGAGGTTGTGCCCAGATGCTTAGAGTGCACAATGTTTATGTCCGACAGTAAAGGGAGAGCCTGAGGAGAACAAAGGGAGAGAGCAACCAGATCTAGATGTAGAAACAATCCCACATGGAGCATGACTGTCTTTTCAAATCAACTGCATTTTCTATTATTTCCTAAAGTCATTAAATGAGCTCTGGCCAGGGCCAGTGTCGTTGAATGAATTCAGAGCAGATCCCTTGGTTTTGGCAAGTCATTCAACTGGCCTTAGAAATGGGACTGGCTTGAACTGCAGCTGAAAGAATTACACAGCGTTTCCTTCCTCCTGATGACTCTCTCTGGGAACATGCCTGGAATGACTGAATGTGGGAGGAAGGGCTGCATTTGTATGGGGTGGGAGAGCTGGGTGCCCCTGTTAATTTGGAGACTGTAATTTTACCGTTAGGTTTCCTAGCTCATCCCCTCTGATAATGTTTTCCTTATCTTAAGCGCCACCCTCTCTCTATAGGTCTTAAAGTTCCCCATGTGGCTAGTGTACGATATTTTATTTAGAGTCAGATTTGGAAACCCATTCTGGGCAAGACTTCCTCTGTGGATGCCATGTACTGAATTACCATTATAAGGAAAAAACTGTAACTCCCACTTACATTAGAACTTAACTTTGAAATTCTTGTAGTGTATCAGGTAAAAATGTAGCTTCTGGTAGTATCATCCTCAGCACATCACTGTATTCATCAAGCAATGGCAATACTATTAACGATAAATTATACAGCCATCATTGAAGTCAACGAACATATTCTACCCACATTCAGCAAGAAGAGAGAGAGCATCGGCAGATTCTACATGTTCATCTTAGAAAGTGGAGTTTGGAGTGAGAGAGACAAGTATAAATGGATACTGAGAAATTGAAATGAGGATTTTCTTTCTTAAAATGTTCTTTGTAATTTATGATTGCATAAGTGGAATTTTGTTTTTACATTCAGAGAAGGTTGAGACTTGTATCTTGATTTTTAGAAAACAGTTAAGGGAAAGGGCAACAGTGGTTATTACATAAAATCCCCCATATACAGCAGACACAGTATTTGACAAGTGACAGGCTTTATCAACCTTAATCCTCACTAGAAACCCATGAGGCAGGCCCTACATTGCTTTACTTGAGGCTCAAAGCGAAATGCAGAGTCACTACGTTCTTTTTTCATTTCATGGAATTTAATGTGGACTTGGGCAATTTTTTGATTATAACTAATCTGTAAAGTTAGCATACAATTTATTTCTTTAAAATATCTTAAAGGTTGGTAGTGCCACATTTTCATTAACTTATGAATAAGTTATGATAATAATTAATGGTAATTACTAATCACTAAAGTTAAAATAACAATAATGCCATTATCATTAATTTATGCATAGGTAGACTGTCTCAGGCATTGTAGTGTGTAGAGATAAATCGTGTATGACTTGTTTTGGGAACAGAATGATAACTCACTGCAGCTAGGGTGTGCAGTGGTTAGTAGGGACTAGGTGATAAAGGGTCTTGATGCCAGGGCAAAGAGTTTTGGATCTTGGAAGAGAAGCTCATGATAAGAGCAACATTTTAGAGAGAGTGTTCACACACTATTTATTTAAAAATTTATTTATGAAGACAAGAACTTGGGTGCAGGCCAAAGGTGTGGGGGGAGGGGTAAGAATATTCACTTGAGACAGAGTGGGTAGCAGAACAAGGGGATTGACTGAAACACTGCTGAGGGGAGCAGCTGGTGAAACAGAAGGTATCTGCCATGTGAGTTAGCCACCTGCCCAGGGGTCAAACATGGCTGTGCCATGTGGGTTAGCCACCTGCCCAGGGATCAAACTCGCACTACCATGGCTGTGGATAGCTTCATAGTGCTGAGATATGCAACACCAGGGAGGACCCACACTATTTTCAGGCCAGATTTTCTAAGCACATTTACCCTGTCAGGCCATATTAGTAACCTTAGTCATTCTTTTTGTTTCCTCTTTCCCCTTAGGGACAGCGGATGGTGCCATGGACCTGATCTTGATCAATTCCCTACCTCTTGTGTCCGATGCCGAGACATCCCTAACCTGCATTGCCTCTGGATGGCACCCCCATGAACCCATCACCATAGGAAGGGATTTTGAAGCCTTAATGAACCAGCACCAAGAACCACTGGAAGTAACTCAAGATGTGACAAGAGAATGGGCTAAAAAGGTTGTTTGGAAGAGAGAGAAGGCCAGTAAAATCAATGGTGCTTACTTCTGTGAAGGGCGGGTTCGAGGAGAGGCGATACGGATACGGACCATGAAGATGCGCCAACAAGGTAGTGTGTGCCTTAGTGGAGGGAGGTGAAGAACATATATTGCTCACTCAAGCTGGCCGCAAGCTGCCTGAGGGTGGAGCTTGCAGGCCTGTCTTCCTCTTTTCCAAGAATTGCTGTGTCTGGTGTGTGGAGATCGGTGCTGGCCTGTTCCCTCACACACAATTGCACTCGCTAGGCCTTGTGCCTGGCCAGTAAGGGGAAATGAAATATCTATTCTACCAAGGGCTTCTTGTGAAGATATCAACATGTTAGATGTTCGCAACAATGAAGATGACTAGCTGTTGCCAAACTTGAGGCTGTTTTGAGTTTTCACATTCATTTTTTTTTTTCAATTTTATACTTTCCATTTGTTCTGCTTGGCCCTGAGCCTTCTTAGCAGTATTTTCAGGGGAAAATAGAGTAAAAAGAGTAAAAATGAAACATTAAAATTATTTTGAAATCACAGAAAAAAAGGTAAATACTAACTGTGGCAGAAACTATCTGTTACTAACTGGATTTAATTGGCTGCTTGCTGTTTTAGTTACCTGTTGCTGCAGTAAAGCTGTGCAACATGCAGCCACATACATGACACACAGTAATACATATTTATGCTCTCAAGTCTAAGCTGGTGTGATTAGGTGGCTCTGTTGACTGTACTTGGGTTTTCTTCTGTGTATAGCTGTAGGCTTTTCAGGCTGGCTTTGGCTGGCACAAATTGCCTCCATCCCATGTGTTGAGCATAGTTCATTGAATTAATCTAGGTAGGTTTTCATGGAGATCACAGAGGCACAAGAGAACATAGGCAAACCCGTGAGATTTCTTGAAACTCGGCTCAGTTTTGTATGCTCTCACTTCTGCCTCATTGTAGTGCCCAAACAAGTCAAACATCTGAGTCCAAAGTCAGCATGGAAAGACACTAGAAAGTTAAATGGCAAAGAGTGTGATACAGGGAGAGTATGAATTTGGGGTCCTTTTTACATGCTACCATTGGCTGTGACTTAATTTTAGCAGTTGCCTATCCAGGCTCATTTCATACAACTCTCCTCATGCAGTAGAATGTCTTCTGCAAGGGAGGAGTGGTATTCTTGGCTACTATCTCACCAGGCTTTTCTCCCAAAACAGAACTGGAAGCTTCTCTAGCTTTGGCCTAGCCCACCGAATTAGTGCATTGCAAATATTATTTTATCATTCTGTTCTGCCCTAATTCTCTCAGGCCTGGATAGGCAAGCAAACTTCTGGTGCTCTTGATGCTGTTTGCAGGGAGAACGCATAGAATTCTAGCAGAGATGACTTCTTGTTCTAGCTGGAACAATCTTGTCCTTCTTCTTTCAGACTCTTTCTCTGGTTACTTTTACCTCAAATGTCCTTGCCAAATTGATACCATAATCACAGGGAAATGTGAAGAAGAGGAAGGAATGTGTCATTTCTTTCTTTTTGGAGTGTGTCATTTCACTGGGTAATAGCATTGGGAGCTCTTTAGAGTTTTGTTATTTTTTTTATAGAGTTGTTTTCTTATGCTTACAAGAGCTAGAGTATAGGCCAGAGGTGCAGGGTGTGAGAGGATTCACCAGAGACAAAGTGGGGAGCAGACTAACAGAATTACACTGGCGATGGTGGGGAGCAGGAGGCAAGACAGGAGAAGTCTGCTGCACCATGTGGGTCAGCTCCCTGGTCGGGGATCAAACTTGTGCTGCAGTGGTGGCTGACAACTTCGTAGTGCTGAGACCTAACCCCTTGCGCTACCAGAGAGGCTCTGATTTCTAATTACTAAAGTGATCTAGAGGAGTAACATACCGCTACATTTCTCTGATTGAAAGCTTCTCATATAAACTTCTTTCAGGCCCTTTTTTTGGATCTGTTAGTCTCAGTCAAAATCACATATAAATCATATGTGGGTCTTGTTAAAACGCAGGCTCTGATTCAGTAAGTCCTTAGGGAGAATCCTGAGAGTCCACACTTCTAAGGGTGTGCCAGATGAGGAGGTGCAGCTGCACTGTGGACCACACTTTGAGTAGCAGGAGTTTAAAGTCAGCCTTCAACTGGGATCCACCTGAAAACATTTCTTGAAATTTACTGGTGTTGATAAAAAGATTTGAAGGCTGCTAGCTCATTTGAAGGTTCAAAATGATAACATCACTATTCATTACAAATGAAGGAAAGGGTTTTCTTAGCAAAACTGTAATGTTCACCTTTAAATGACACCAGGGCGAGTGGGAAAAGAGCACAACAGAAATTCCCAGGAATGTAGCTCTCCGGTGAGGGAAGAGGGGTTGAACAAAGGGATGTGAGGTGTGCCAAAGCTATCATGGCAGAAATATCAGCTCTATTATTTTTTACATGTGTCATTCGGAATTTGATGAAGAGTTACATCCTTGTGCTGCTACTTCCACATTCTATGTAAGATGGTCAGAGATTTGTACTCCAGTGGTTTCAGGGATAAAATGGAAAGTGTCACCATGGACTTGGAGACTGTTTTGCTGGTGATTAAATAGGACTCTGTGGAGCATATCCAACCAGAATACTGGAGTCAAACCCAACTGTAACAAATCCCTCCCAGGGCCCTCCCTGGTGGGGCAACAGGTTAAAGCGCAGCACTTCGAAACTAGCTTGGACAGGGAGGTGACCCACATGGCACAGCAAACCTTGCCTGACCAGCCAGCTGCTCCCCTCAGGAGTGCCTTTCAGTCAGTCTGCTGGTTCTGCTCCCCACTCTGTCTCTGGTGAATCCTCTCACCTCTCCTGCACCTCTGGCCTGCACCCCAGTTCTGCAAACATAAATAAATCTTAAAAAATCCCTCCCAACTGGCAGTCCAGATCAACACAAATAAAGGATAGCCGAAATTCAGCTCAGTAAGGCAGAGGGAGGCTTGGAGAGTGAATATTGAGAGAATACAGCTTTTAAACTCATAGTTAACTGTGCTCTAATTCTTGCCTCACTTCACAGCTATGTGGCCTTAGTTAAGTTTAATTTTTTTAATTTTTAAAATTTATTCATGCATACAGAACTGGGGTACAGGCTAGAGGTGAAGGGGCAATTAGAGGAGTCACCAGAGACAGAGCAGGAACAAAACAGGCCAACTGATGAAGTACACTGCTGAGAGGAGCAGTGGGCTGGTCAGGAGAGGTCTGCTATGCCATATGGATCACCTCCAGGGCAGGAGAGGTCTGCCATGCCATGTGGGTCACTCCCAGATGGGGACTGAATTAATGCTGAAGTGGCTTTAGCTTCTTAGTGCTGTGCCTTAACCTGCTGAGCCACCAGGGAGGGCCCTGAATTTAATTTTTATGGGTCTAATTTTCGTCCTCTTAAACAGGCATAACAGTGTCTTCAAATTATCTAAAGCTTTCTTTTTTTCAGTTATATTAAGCTTTAAATAAGGTGCTATATGTAAAAAGTGTCAGTTCCCATGAATGCATTTAAAGTAAGACTTGATGTATCCCTGATGTGTGAAGTGGGGCATTGCAGGATGAGTGATGTGATAAGAGAACATTTTGTAAATGGTAGAAATGGGACTTGATGCCATAGAATCTGAATAGGTGCATCTCGTTATGACCACTGTGTTGACCATCTCCCACTTTCTGTGCTGTGGTCTCCACTTAAAACTCTAAAAATCAACCTGGGGCACACAGTAGAGTTAGAGAGTGGAATTTAGCTGACTTGGTTTCAAGTCTAACACTGCAACCGAGTGGTCACTTAATTGAAAGTTACTTAATAGAAAACATAGTTG